TACATATAGTTCACGTCCCTCATATACATGTACACGTACAATTATGCAATATTTTGGGCTAATCTAAGCGGTGACATAGAACTTGCGACCGAGCCAATGTTCTTGATTTCATTGCATGTTGTTTTTGTTTATGATGTCATATAAATATGACGTCATCACGTCACACATCAGATCGTTCTGTTATTTTTTCTGTTTGTCGATTTGATACTAAACGCTCTGTTGGATTTTTCAGTAGGTATGTTGATATTAAATGACCAGAATGTTGGTAGTCGATGACCAGAATCAGCTGAGACAAATATTCAAGGATTTAGGATACCATGAGTGCACCACAACAGGCAACAGTAGAAAAAACTGCAGGATAATGTAAATTGGTTGTTAACTTCTGCAACATGTTAGTAAAGATTTTGTACTAAAATATTGTTTAAAAAAATCCTTTAGGAGGAAATTACACCTGAAGCGTAGTCGGGCGCGTGGCAAGATCCCAAGGGACCGCAAGCCAAAGCCAGGAAAGCGAAACGTTAGAATAATAATGCGTTAATATTCTAAGGCAGACACCATACAGTTAAAAAATACGTCCTAATGCACATATTAAGGTGTTGATTTTGACGACGATCAGCTTAACATTGTAATGGGAACCATAAAGGTCAACGACATACGAAATGAACTGTATGTCAATTTAGTTTCAACAACTTTTATTACACATAAAAAATGAATTACCTACGTGTTTAAGTACTCGTTTTACCACCTACATACCTATTAAGTTAGCTTTGTGTTCACTTTAATTTTGTTTTCATAAAATATTCGTGTCTAACACAGGAATGGAATGGAAACTCATTCGTGTTCCTTTATTTAAATAGTGTGTAACGAAGTAACGTTAGCCATAACGAACGCACAAAGAACGTTAGTATCGATTGTAGGTCAGTGGACAAGGAACCCTCCAACAGAAAAGTGTAAACAAACCGTAAGTCAAACGGAATTAGCTATGGTTTTACTCGGCGAGTGGCCAGTATCAGCGCTAGGTTCATAGACAATTCGTTTTACTTTTTTTTTCAAAAATCGACTACTTTGTTATTTTTTCAAGGGATCTTAACAAATAGTCTGTAATAGGACATAAACAAAAAACTATTTTTTTTTTCAATCAACCTATGACGAGTTACGTAACTTGATACTTAGTTGCTTACACTGTGTCATTAGTCATTGGCGGTATCGGTACTTGTAGGGCATACAGGTAAGCAGGCAGTAAATAAAATCCACCTGTTGTTGTCGATGGCGCCCTCATTGCAATTCGATCGATATATTTTCGTGCGTGAACAGTAAACAATCGATACACGTGAGAGCACGTCCAATTTTTTTGCACCAATTTTCAGATGTTTGTTTTCGATTCCCGCTCGGCTGCTATGAGTCATGTATAAAAAACGTGCGTACTTATTATACCCAAACAAGCAGTGCTCTGCAGAGTTCCAACTAAAACTACTCTGTACCATCTTGACATTTAGAAACTCCCATTTAACCACGCCGCTTTACTTTCATTAAGTCCTATAAATAAAGCTCTAGTGATCCAACAATAGCGAAATGTCAGAACAACTTTCACTGGGCGTATAGATGGAGCGCGAACCACAGCAACCAATTCAAAAACAAACCCGACCAAAACAAATACGCTCCAAATGAACAAGAAAAAACAAAGAAATTAATAAGGCTCCGCCGCTATAATTGACTCTCTTAATAAACTTTATACCTGGAAATTCCTACCTACCTACCTACAAAAAATGTAAAGCTCACTGTTGTGAATTGATTTTAAAGAGTAATGTATAGTGTCTTAATCTGTAATGGGTTTTGACAGCCCTCCCGGTAAAAGACAATGTAACTTCCTTCCGGCGAGAGGTCTAAGGTGTTCAATGTGTTCTAGATGTAATGTTAGACGTTTCTATAAAATAAACATCATTACTAGCTTTACTGTGTTATTATTAAAAATAAAACATTCACTATAAATCTTATTGTATGTAGCTATATTTATGTAATGGAAGGTGACTCCAGAATTATCTCTGAAGTCATTTTTTAACTTGATGAATCTGTATATACAACAATACAGGAAGAAAAAAACAGCTCTTGCTGTCTGGTCTGTCGGGTCTCTTGCCGGTTCTTCTCAGTGCAAGGTCTCCAGCCGTAGTTTTGCGAACCGATGGCGTAGCTTCTCGACTTTCACAAGTGCTTGTAACAGCCTTGACTGAACAAATGATTTTTGATTTTATGGTCTTTCTTCTATAAGCCGGAGCTTACTTCCCCCGGCGGACGCGCACCGCACTCGGCATTTGAGTTTCATATATGTACCTAATTTCATTTGATTATGGTACCAGTGTATGAGTCGTAATGTTTGTAAATAAAAGTTTTTTTCAGATCTACCGTCCGCATGTACGATCAACAATAGACATCAGTAGACATCACACAAATAAGTATTTTGTAATTCGATAAAAAGAGGCCAAACATTGCATAACTAGTCCAAGCTTATTCTCCATTTATCAATAAGGGGGATAGATCCACAATAGTCTCACAATTGTATCGTTCAGCTTGTAGCACTCTTGTTAGCTTTGTAAACTCAATGGATCAATTGATTGATATGCGTAGCTGTTCTCCAATTATCTATTACATGCAACCTCGATATTTTGCGGCGACTGATTTGTAATCGATGTTTTTATTTGCATACATTATACAGTACATAGTGAGTCAGGGAGTATTTAAAAAATGCTGTTTTGTATTCATTTAATTCACGAATAAGATTATTTTGATTAGAAAAAGAGAGTCATTGTAGACGTTTTCTATCACAGGGAAAAATCATCATTGTTAGCCTTATTTCCTTAGGTGGATACAAAGTACAATCAATAAATCTTTTGAGGTTCCAGGAAAGGATAAGGATTGGGTTTAGTATAGGCAATGGTGCAAGTAACAATGGTGTTGCTATCAATGGGTATCACAAGCGTCTATGATCTATGGTGGACGCAAGCCATATGCTGCATAGAAAAAATATACTTATTGGCAGGGCTTTACATAAAACAAGAGATTTTCACAGTGGCTTTTCAACTCGAATTGGAGTCTCGACACCTTGTTATGAAGTGTTAGTCCCGCCTTCTCTATTTAATCATATTAAAACAATAGATTTTTCGCTGTTCCATGTATGAGGTAAATGTTAACTTTCACTGACTAACTAACGGTCACAGAGATTTTGACTTTTGACTGAATAATCGACACCGGAAGTATTAACCAGTAGAAACTCGAAACAAAAGCCCTCTTTTAAAGATTCGTTACTTACTACCTACGAATAAAAAGTTATTAATTACTATTCTGCCCACCTTCTATTTACAAATACAAGGTAACTAAATTAATGTTCTGATATTAATAACAAAGAAGAAGTGAAAGTAAATTAATGACGGCACGTCTGTTCAAATTAATATCCAAAGTCCTATGGATTTGAAAAAGGTTAGCAATGTGAAAAGGGTACCCACCCACCTCCTCCCTAATAGGGATGATGACTATTTTTTTTTTCTTCGTTTATGAGGTAGATTATCAAAAAGTATTGGACACGTATTTTTTCTTTTTTCATATAATATAAACATTGCAGAGATATATTTATTTGAAAAGTCGCATGACGTCACGTGTAAGTACACTTTTAGGCTGAGCGCAGATTAGAGTCACGACAGTCTCAAGACAGACTATTGCTTAACAAAAATTATGAAGATGCGCACATTCGAAACGAGACGTCTCATAGACAAAAAAGTCTTATGTACACAAGAACTGCAAAGCGACAAGTCTGACTAACGATTGTCCGCTTCCCTTTGTAATGTATGCGAGGGCGCACACCAACGACAAAATTGTCTAGCGATTAGGGATGATAATCGATACTGAAAGAAAGTATAATACATACGATAAAATAAGTAATATGTGGGTCCATAAATTTTGACAAATTATCAAAGATAGATTGATACATTCATTCGAAATTACTGGTAAAACTTTCTGGGCTTGCCTTAATTTCTATAAAATAAATAATCGGTGAAATCTATTTTGATACTGATGAAAATGGTGCGTGTCGCATCATAGACAAAACAGTTTCGTCTTGGTGTGCGCCTTGTGGTAGACACAACTGTTTCTTTTTAATTGTAAAGCTGTCTCGTCTATGTAAGACAAGATTGTCTAACAACTGTCGTGACTCTAATCTGCGCTCAGCCTTATGCGAATATTCACTAAAAAGTGACGTCACGAGCCCCTACTCCCAAACTTTGACGCGCTATAACGTTGTCATTTTTTGGTTGATTGCCCAAAAAAAAATACGTGTCCATTATTTTTTGATCATCTAACTGACGGACTAAATAGAATTTCGTTTACTGTACCCCGTCATCACCCCTATTGCTAGCGAATGCATAAGGTGTTTTGGACTGAATTCGTAATCAATCAAAATAAATTTCAGTTTGGAGATAATTTTGAATTTTGTCTGTTATGTTTTCAGGTTAAATTCGTTACCAATCAAAATACATTTAGGTTTGGAGATAATTTAAACATGGAAGCTTTTTTTCATTAATAAATGTCTTGTCTGCGCGCTTATGTAAATAGATGGAAAATTGAGAATGGGCTTTAAATAATCCAACACGCAGGCCAAGTATGGATTAGTGGTACTTATGCCTGCCGATCTAGTTGGGAGGAACCAAGGGATTAACGTGCCTTCCGAAGCGCGAGAGCAAGCAAGAGATAACAAATTTTTGGTTACCAAGGTAAGCACTATGCCAACGTGCCCCATTTAATCTTAATAGGTTACTCAAAATGATTATTTTACGCTGAGGACGTCGCAAGCACCTGCTTGTGTTACATAATTCAATAATCACACCCTCATTCACTGAGAATTGGCCTCCCCTCCGCAAAGAAGAGAGGCAATTCCTGAAGTCTACGCCATAACTCACAGACCTATGTTTACTGGTTCTGTCTGCGTTACTTTTGTCAAGGGGCTATGCTTCTCCCTAGCTGACGTCATGTTGCCAGGATATCTTCAAGGTCACGAAGAACTTCGAGTATTCAGTCGATAGCCGCCTAAGTTTATTGTTTTCCGTTCTGACCGAGTCGTCGCGCCGCCTCGTTTGCTTGTCGAGAATTTTATTATTCTGTTTTTCACGTCGAGGTTGACTCTGAATGAAGGCAATAAATACAACTGTACCTACTTTGTATGCAAAAATATAAAGCAAATATTTATTTTACTAGAAAGACAGGTTAATGACATGTATTATTATGTAGAAATTACGTTTAACATTTATAGCGACCGCGATAGAGTATTCGATCTACGATTGTAAAGTTAAGCAAATTTTGTAATAGTCGATCAAAGAATCAGAAATCAATATATCTTTATTCAAATTGGATGTATAGTACAACTCTTTTGAATCGTCCAAAATTTTTTTCCCTACCTATTGTACTGATTATGTATAACTTATTGTATTGAGAAAGAATCAGAAAATTTTAGTTTTTAAGTGTAGTCACATTTATCCATTATATTCGTAGTTGAAGGACATTAGTATTTTTTGTGAACAAACCGCAAGGTGGGCAGGCCACGCCTCACACACCACATAGCGTCACCGTATCTGCACCATCGACCTTGGCCGTACTTGAATTATGTCATTTAATGCTAGAACAACATACCATCGTTGTATGTAAGCAAAACAAAAACATTGAGAAAATTTAACATATGAAATATTCTGATCATCTTTGCCGCTATATTATTATACGAAGCTTTTATCAATCGTTCTGTCAGGACTTGCATAGAGTGCCTTGAGCTTAAGTTGTTCCTTGACATCGAAACTTTACTTTACTTTACTTAATATTATAATAAAATCGCCTGTTCCATGAAGACCGTAAAGGTTCATTTTTATAGCACTTCGATCAGAGACACTATATCTCTGACTATGTTTTTATAATATGTATTTATTTTTGTAGCTGTAATGGTCTAAAATAGTCTTTGTTTTATTTTTTGCTGTCTTGTTGACTGTTTGCTGTAAGAATAATTTCCATTTGCAAATGAAACCATTTTAATGGACTACGCACTATGGATGTTTTTCAGGTTTGATATTTATTTTTTATTTACATCTTTGGTTATACTCCTTATAATAGTATTGTCCTACATAACCTTTCGATAGTAAGATATTGATTTTAATCTTTTTTAATTATCTAAATAGTAAATTACTAAATAATTCAATTTAACATCAGTCTCTCCTTTTCATTCTGTATAGGGAATGACAGGGATACTTTGTTGTACACCATAGTCTATTTTCTTACGAATATATCTTGTTAATTCTGCATTTGTTTACTAGATTTGATTTCACGATAAGTGATACGAAGGCAATAAATACCTGTTAATAAATCTACAACAATTTGGTACTTATCTATACTTCGATCTTAATCAACATCGATTTTGTTTGACGTAGATACCTAATAAGCAGGATGAATCATTACTCACTTCACTAGCAATTTTTCAATTGGAAGAGATTTCTTTTAACGTATGACTTCAGAAGTGATTTTGCAGTCAATTATAGCATAGTATAAAGTTATACTATGATTATAGTGTAGGTATTTGTTCTAACTTAAATATATAAAGGCACAAAATGAAATAAAAACGCGGTATGGTAGGGCCTAGGGTTTCGCTACGCAAGATAAAACAAAGACTTATATTTAGTTTTGATTCTCAAAATATAATACCTACCTTATTGGGGTTCTGTACCCATAGGGTAAAAATGGAACTCTATTGCTGTCACTCAGTCTGTCCGTAAGTCACGGATCTCTAGATCGCAAACGGAATGAGTTACATAACTGAAATTTAGGTATTTTATGTAGAATGCTTGCCCAAAGCCGAACATGATGTTCAAAATTCAATTAAGTTATTCTTCATGCGGGGTCCGACTCGAACTTGGCCGGTTTTTTGTAGGTAAGTGAGAAGTATATACATACACCCAAGTACTAATTCTTTAAAAGGTACTCAGGTACTTAATTCATAACAAAATATAACGAAATTTGTGGAAGCAGGCAAGCAGTAAGGTCGCGGTCCGCATCATCATCGCGTTATTATTTCGATATGAATTGGGGCGTCCGTCCGTCGTCCGCAGTGGTGCGGCCTAGCGCAGCTGTACGGCACTGACATTGCATTGCAGCTGTTCGATATAGTTTTGCATTTTTATGCAATTTCAAAACTACAAAAGAGCAAGATATATGCAGATATAAGAGTAGCTTCGCAACTTACAAATTGCAAATGACATATTATGTGCATGCAACATTTTTTGTTTTCATTACAGGAACCTTACCTACTTATAATTTTAAGGTTGTTACTAATAATAGAAATAAAAAAGATAGTTTTCAGTTTTTTTTCTATTTGAGGCGTGAAGAGCAGAGCCACATTTAGCCTAATTCCAGTATCTTTCATACTCCACTAAATTTACAGCATTCTTTTTTAATTCTCCAGAGCATGATAAGGATAAATGCTAAGTACTGTCAAATTTAGTTTTATTTAATGCCCATAATATAGTATAAATTGTGCCCTTAACTCAGTTTTTTTTTTTTATTGTATGAAAGTGGAAATAGATATAGTGGTTTGTATCTGTAGTTAAGTAGTACTTGACAGTACAGACATGAGTTTTTTTTTTTAAATTATTACAAACCTTTTTTTAAGATAATGTAAATATCCCACATACTATATTTAGCAGTGACAATCTTAGATTTTAAATGCTCTATGGTGACAATGGCAAAACAATAATACCAAAGCTGATTTAAAGAGTAGACCTATCTGAAAGATAGATATTCAAAAAGCTCATAAACCGATCTCTTAAGAACATAAAACATGGAAACAGATAATGAAACATACTTTTTGGAAAATGTACAACTTTAATTATAAGTAGATGCACTTCTTGATGTGTGGTGCATATCAAACCCCATTGAGAATCAGCAAAATTAATTGGGTCACTAGACTAGGTCAATTAAAATGGCCTTATTAACTCTATTATAGCCGAGAATAATACTGACTTCGAGTGACATAATTCAGTTTCATGCTATTAGTCATCATCCAAAAACATATTTATGATATAATATGTTTTAAAAATAGGCAGCTATATATGAATAATTTTATGAAAATATGACAAATTTTGTTAATACAAAATTTATTTTAATATAACAATAAGATTCTTGTTGTTTACACAATAATAGGAATATTGCATATAGGTAGTGCTTGTTTTTTTTTAAATTGAGTTTAGCTCTTCATTGTATTAATCTTCTAGATATAGAGGCATGAGGCATAGATAGGTACACCAAAATCAGTGAGTGTTGATCTGATCATGAGTTCCTCAGGAAAAAATTAAGCACCTAACCTTTAGCATACATCTATATTACTGATAAGAAAATAAAAGACTGTGACATAATTTTCGCAATATTATATCATAGTTTGCGGGAAACAACAATAATTTTATTATGAACAAAAGTAGCACGAAATGATCATTTGGGTGGGCAGAGCGATTGCTCGAGTCAAACCAAAGGATGGAAAGAACACTGGATAACGAGATAATGAGAAAAAATCTGCAGCAAGCCATAAAACACCGCATACGCCTAAAATAGGTCATATCCCTGTTTAGATTCTACATCGTCGAAATATCCCAGATCACTACAGCTGCGCGGAATCACCTCAATACACCGCTATGCGGTACCTATTTAAAACAGCGAAAAAATCGCCGATTTGATGATGAATTGTTATTGATAACATGCAGGGAATATTCTGTGAAACTCTCTTTTGAGCTTTCAGAAAGAAACAAGTGAAGAACGACATTAAAATGTTAAATTAATGCAGCTCTATCGGTACCTGTTTACTTTTGTTGTCGATCCCGTTCGCCTTTCCGTCCTGTACATTCCCGTTGTTTTCCTCACTTTTTTCACTTTTCACACCTTCCAACGCCATATTCAAACAATTATTTTATTCACTGTCATACGAAAAATGTATTACGAAACCCGGTTTCGACGGACATGAAATGTTTTGCCACAAATTCGATTCGAATGATGGGAGTGCCCATAGACAAGCAACGATCCGTCACATACACAAACACGAAACACGTTAAAACAGTCGACGCCTCGAGCGCGGAATGAAGTGAAAAAACGAAACGGAGATTCTCTACCACGCAAGTGTAGAGAATGGGGGAGAGAGCGAGTAGGCAAACATCTTTTGAGATTTCTGAACCCCGGGAATTTAACAGGAATACGACTGCCAAAGGTCTGTCTTTATCGAATATTCGCAATATTCTGCGATAATTATAATGTTTGCTCTTAATAAATTAGCAACAAAATTCAAACAATGCATTCCGTAGAGAAGCATTTATTTACATTACATGCTGCATTAACATCGCACCGGTTCATTAATAGATAGCATCGGACGGTATAAAGCTATGCAGATTATTTTATTCACGTTTAAATTGGGTTTATTTCCAAGTTACGATATTATCATCCTTGTAAAGTCATTTCCTCACTGCTGGGTGCTGGGGGTTGGGGTGATGGCACAAACCTTCGACTCGACACTTCGTGGACAACGTCAATTAAGAATAGGCAAAGCAGGCCCATATTAACACACTCATTAACTTAAACGTTACGAAAAATATCATATTATTTAGTACGACGTTCCTTTTCCGGAAGGAGTGGCGGGTGGGGGGTAGGCTAGGGCTACCTACATTATACATATATAAATTAGGAACGGAACCAGATTTTTATTTATTTATTAAGCAATGCGTGCAAAGTCTCACTGATAAAAAAACTTATGAATAATGTATTCAAACAGTAATTAAATAAACTATCACTTTTAAAAAAAACTAAATTAAAAAAAAGTCGTCCATCTACATTTTATGACAAGTAATAAATACGTTTGTCGTGCTTTTAGTTTTACGTTGTGCTTTTGACTCTACGTTTTTCCCACACTTGTAAATATGTAGTGAGAATATGGCTGTACAGATGGCGCTGTTATAAATTTTAATCAAGATTTTTTTGTTAATTATATTCAAGACTATTTGTTTAATTTTTGACCTAAAGATGTACTAAAAATACCACAGCACATAGTGCATGTGGTACCTCAAGTCATTTTGATATTGCCGTCTAACTATTACTGATTCAAAAAGTCATCTATTGCTTATGTTCTTTTTAGTAGTTTAGAAGTAAATTGAAATCCCACCAAAAACATTCTGTAAAAAACTAACCAAGGCTCGATGGAGCTGCTTGTTTATCTCTAAAAAGCAATGAAATCTAGACAAAGTCGTGCCAAGTCTAAGGTTCCTTACTGCGATTTCTTTATTATTATAGTTAATGTTGTGTGACTTGGCCGTTGAAGGGTACACAAGGGTACAAAACCAGGTGCTACATGACACCATTGCACCAATCTGTCGCCAGAACCGCTACCCATTGACGATGGAAAATTGCCACTTGGAAAACGTTGATTGAATAACCAGTCATTGTAGGCTTTATAAAGTTGCGTTTACACCTAATGTTGCACGTATGAATGCATCGTTGCAGGTAATGGTTTATCTGTGTGGGGCCGTTCAAGTATAACGTAAGCAGATTTACTACAATTATTTACCCCGTCCTACCCCTTGTCAGCAAAAGAAAGCAAAGCTCTTACCCCCCCTATCGTGCTTACGTAAACATTGGTACCTCTATATGCATTTTTCCTTTAATGTTTTCTGTTTTTTTTATTCATTCGTGAGCTTTCATGAGCTTCATGAGCAGCAGTACTTAAATAGGCTTGGGATAGAAGACTTTAACGCACATAGTATTCATTTAAACAAATTTAATTGACACATTATTCAACATAGAGTGAGGTACAAATATTATAATCTTATTTAGTACTATTACGAACAAAACAAACTTCTTCCGAATTTTTGATATACATATTAATTCCAATTAACAGTCTTCAGCTTAGCTCTAAGGTCTTCAGTCCATGACATCCGAATCCATGATGCTGACGTAAGCACTATTTCGACCTCCTACCCACCCCCCCATGTCATCAAAAATAAGCAAAGCAAAGACCCCTGCCTCTCTATAGTGATTATGTAATACTTGAACGGCCCCTGCGGCCCTTTTTTCTTTCTATATGCATATAATATATACATAATAGAACGAAAAAAAATGTAAAGAGCTTATTATTTGTTGGATATGATAAGTATCAATACTGTAAGCCAATGCTATAAACTATTATGTCATAGCTATTATTAAAAATAAAAGTCTCTGGTTGCTCTCTTCTCTCTGGACTGTGCTTGCAATGTTACGCTCTTACCGAAAATGTAATTATATTAAATAATATGTTACACTCCTGATTCTTATAATGAATAAACGATTTGTCCAAAACGCAGATTGTTTCAACATTATTCGCCAACAAACCTTAGATTAAAACAAAAACCAACAAACTGACTTTTCAGTTTGTCGAAATAAGTTGTTTTTGTATACCTGTATTTTTAGTGAAAATAAATAAATAAAATAAAATAAAATAGAGACTTGACTAGTATTTTACAGAATGTTTTTGGTAGGATTTCACTTCTCTTTGTAGAAACGTGGGCATATTGATTTATTTTATTAGATTTTCTTATTTGACACATTTCTTTAGGAGTAGTCTTTTTATTATTACAATCGCTGAAGCTTGAGCTTTTATACTCTTGAAGTCAACATTTATGAGGTGCACCACATGAAGATTGGTTACTCGTGAAAGCGCCACGTAGGCTTGGCCACAAGAGAATATGGAGGTGCCAATGTCCATGAGGGCATTTTTTAGACTTAGACCTTGGTATCACCGCCACTCTTAGTCCGATGCATTATATTTTGACCAAATTTTGAGCGAAATTAATATTTTAGTGTAATTTGTTTATTTAATTTGTGTAATGTTCGAGTAGAATAAAGTTAATCGTTCGACTATTTATTCTTGTAAAGTCGTAATTATAAGTAAGTATAAAAGCCAGTCTAGTGTTATCCAGAGTTTTCCTTTAATTTTATTTATATGCGTATTAAAAGCAGATAGACGCTATAGGCTAGATTAAATTAAAACTAGTGTCCTACTACACTGGATTTTTGCAATGACAGTCTATTACCATATCTCTAATACAGCTGAGACCACCTGAGGGTTCTTCATCAGATACTTCAGACCTTCGATTTTTTACATCAAATGAAGCGGCCCACCAAGTTGAATATTTTTTGTAAAGGTGGTATGTCGATCTCTTCTAATAGTTTGGTTGGGCTCTTGTGTTTTCTAATCAGGGTCACCAGGTAATCCAGATCTTCTATTATCCTAGTTTTTATAAGTTTTCCTTTTATGTGGCCATTAAACCCTAACTCTGTACCAAATTTCAGCTCTCTGAGATTATGGGAAGTACTAGTTCTATTCTGATGATCATGAGTGAGTGAGTGAGTGTCATAAATGCGAAACCTTGCTTTCGCTTAACTTCGGAACTAAATGACCTACAGACTTGAAATTTTGGATTTTAAGTATCTTATTATAGCTTACTGGATGACGAAAATTTCTGCGTTCTGGTCTTATCCAGAGGTTCTCAAATAGGGGCCTGAAAATGCGGCGAAATAGTTCCAGTAAAGTAGCATCCTTTACTGGAACTATTTCAACGGCAGTGTTTGCTTCGCACTCGACTTGGCGGGAGCACTGCCGTGCCCCCGATTCATTTACTTTTACTCGTCGACTATCTAAAATTGGCAGTGGCTGCATTGTAATGTCAACGTCCGGCTCTAATATTATGATATACACAAATACAGTGTCATATCCTAGTCTCATAATTTGATATACCTACATAATTCACATAAAACAAAATATGTAGATGCCAGAGGTTAACTTCAAATGTTGTTGATCACCCTATATACCAAAAATCCCCGCTTGGGCTCCTCTACTCAGTGGCGGACTAACAGGGGGGCGGAAGGGGCGGACTAACAGGGGGGCGGAAGGGGCGGCCCGCCCCAGGCCTCCGATTTTGGGGGCCCCCAAATGCCTCCGCGTTCCCCTGATCGCATCCTAAACTAGACTTTAAAAATGTGCTTAGTACCTACATAATTTCATCAAGATCAAAACACTACAGCCATCTAGACTTTTTACGCGGTACTAATATTCTTTTAACTTCGCTGAACGCGTCCAATACGCTGGGGGAATTCCTGTCTCTGCAGCTGGTACTTCCTCAGGTACCCCTGAATGAATGAAGTACAAATAATTCACTCTTATACGCCTACATTTAATAACATTCACGATATTTACGTCGAAAAATAAACGTTGGCCTCTTTTAAAATCCGTTCAAAGTAACCTCATTAAAAAGTGTAATAGTGCTTTTGATTTTTGTTGCGGTATAAAAATAAATGACTTTGGAGTTGAGTTAGTGCATTTTTAAGTATTTGGAAAAAGTAAGTAATTCTTCGTATAATTTAGCCTAGAAATCATAATCCGTAGTTTCTAGTCAATATGCACCTACGTTTCTAGTCAATATGTACCATATTGTAGGTATGTATGTTTATTTAGCTTAAATAATTGAATTGGAATTTAAATTTCACTCGCCAGATTTTAACGAAACAAACTAAGAAAATACATTTTTTCTTTAAAACTGGGGGGCCTCATTTTGCCGCCCCGGGCCTCTGACGAGCTTAGTCCGCCACTGCCTCTACTATAACTACTACAGTACAGTACTGTACTGTAGTGGTAATAGTACACTGCGCTATCACTTTTTCATCGTTGTAACTTTTTAAATATTTAACGAAATGACATAGTATAAAATATCAAAAGGGATAAAAGTATTTGTTAAGATAAAAAATATTTTGTTAATATTTAATAATAATATACATACAACAACATTACATGTATACAACTTTTTATAATATACAACTTTAAATGTTGTAGATCCTAAACATTCATATAAAATGAAAAATGGTGTAAGGAACCTAATCATGATTTTCGATTATCAAGACAATGATACCCCACTAGATATATTTCGTCAACTTATTTTTTTTACTTCGTCACAATATGGCGCCTAATTGTTCCCATATTGAATTTTTTATTAAACTAATAAATATAATAATATTTAATTACTATCATATCTTTAGTAGCACTCCCATGATTAAGACGAATCGATTGACGTATGAATCATCAAAATAGGTCCACGCGTTTGGTCTCTAGTGTGCCTCAAAGAAACATACATACATTAATATAGACTATTAAACACTATACCCTGTCTGCGCGTCGCGCTTCGCGTTCTTGCATTGCGCAGTCGGGTAAAGGGAACTTTTGTTATCCGTCTGTCCGTCCGTCCGCCCGTCTGACCGTCTGTCCATTACGCGTAGAGGTAACGAGTGGAATTTCAAACAATATACTCAAGTCTGGCGTCCGTTGAAGCTGAGAAAAAAAATCAAACTTCGAAGTTAAAGTCAAAAAAAGATACGGCCGTCTATGATGGATACCTACAAATTTGTACAGAACCCTTGGAAAGACTCGCACTTGTCCGGTTTTTGTTTTTCATGGTAAGGCAGGCAAATAACTCTACCCCACCTGATATTAAGTGCTGGTAAAGTCCAGACGCGAAGATAGCTGGTACAGTAGCAGCTATAAGCTGCCCCGCCAACCATCCCCACCTTGCCGGTCTGGAACTCCGGTTTTGGTTCAACGCATAGTACCTTTTAAGGTAGACCTTTAAGGTGCTTTTGAAGTAATGACAAATGTATGGTTTCTCATATACATGCAAACAATTTAATCAATTTAAACAGATTTCGAACCTGTGATCGATTTCGTACTGAGAATTCCCAACCCGGCCCTGCAACCTATCTACCTACGGAGCACAGAAAGCTGTCTAGTGTCTACACATCCATGCTAAAAATGCGTCCCATTTTACCTTTAATATTGATGTTATCTTATTAATTCAGATAATATAATTTTAATGTTTACTTCTTGAATCAAAAGCCACAGAGACAAACTAATGACACTTAAACAAACATACGAATTATAAATACGACCAATGAACGTTTAATTTAGAACTTCATTAGTAAATACACGGTTACTTTATCGTACAAAATGACCTTTTTCCCTATCAGTCAGAATATAGCAGGACTGTACATCAAGCGCGCTTCAGTTATGCACAGTCCATTAAATTATCAACAACTTCCATTTTATTAAAAATAAGTAATAACAATAAAATGTTGGACATATCGCTTATGTGACAAATAAATCGTGTTTAAAACGATCTACATTAAAGTAATTTACAAAATAAGTGCCTGTTATTTGTTAGTGTAAAGTTATTTGTTTTAAAATCTTATTGTGTAGAGTGAAGCCGTTTGAGTGTTTTGTTTTATTATTTTTGTTAAAAGTGTAGATATTCACTCAAGAGAAATGTTGAAATGTAAGTATCTACATGTTTATTTACTTAGGTAACTTTTTATCAGTGATACCCAATCTACGAGTATATTAAAAGTTATCGATAAATAAACAACCTACAAACAATATTTGAACATACACTACCTACCTACCTAAATCGTAATGAATTGTTACGAAAAGTATGATAATAACAGATTTTTATTTATAGGTAAAACTCTCAAACTTCTAAATTAATTGGTAACTCATTACTTTCAGCCGCCATTAAATTGACTGAACATTGGGAAAGTCTGTAAAATTATGTTTATTGCCAATATAGGTTACCTGTATGTTGAAGTGTAGTAGCATATTATATGAGCGATTTGTTCTGGGGCCGAATTATACAAAAACAGCGGTTGAAATGGGATACTGCTCGACTCTACTGTGCACAAATAAGTGATGTCTCACTTTAATAATGGAACTTGCCTGGCGTTAGAAGTTGATAATAGCCTCTGATCATGAAATCTTCAAAATATTATGAAGAAGGTATGATTGGTAATGGCTCTTGGCTCTTTATAGAGAGTACAAGTAACTTCATTTTATACCTTGTATGCCTCATTATATGCTGTGTCACGCCTCTTTGGTTATTGAAGCAGGCACGAATTAAAGAACATTAAAATTAAAATAAAAAAATACAATTTAAGACACTTTATTATACACCACAGAAAACATTACAATAAATACAAAGCCGTTTAAATCAAGTGTTAATTAAAATTGATTTTTATGGGTAGGTAGAACTGGGTAGAACCCATACCAATGAAAGAAAACAGGAAAATTAGAAGCATTATTCACTAGCTTCCCGCAAAGTTTTAATTTTATTCGAAAAAACCTTCTACAAAGTATTACAAAACTTAAAGAAGATAGATAAAATGGGAAAATTGGTTTTACAATATAGGGATTCATTTTACAAAGACTATTTGACCCGGCATTGCACGGATGCAGTATACTCATTAGCGTCAGATATTGAAAAGCTGTGAGATTTTAATACAACCAAAACACCACCCCCATTTTCGAATTTTCAGATAGTTTTTAGTAGATCGTGAAAAAAAACATACATTTATTATTCTGACACAACAAAAATAATGAACAAAGGTAGTTTTTCGATAGTTATACCTATGCGCGCAAATAATATTTCAACCAGTTTATAGATTTCCTTGTTGGATACTTAAACTATCAATTTCCTTAAGTAATACCTAAAATTTGAAAAAAATAATAATGTTCTTGTTTCTGAATCCCTATTCTATTATATAATAATACCACTCTGTCTCTGTAATAAACTATTTTAGTTGTAACTTTCACAAAAACACCCAAACGTCATTACATTACCCAAACTTTGTGTGTCGTTGTAACTAATGCAATTTAAACATTGTTATCTTTCCACAAATAAAACTACCTACGCTATAAATCACCTTTGCTCTACAAAATTATGTCAAGACATTTAATAATTTATTTACTACTTAATACTTTTAGTGCCGAGTAAACATTTAATTCACGTTACAGTAGAACGGTTATTTATAACTATCATCTACAAGGTAGGTACTCACTTTTTGCATTTAGTGAATAAATCTATTCTTTTTTCCTCGAGCTATTTTGAGGCAATGCATTACAAACAAAATATATGTAGTTGTCTTGAAATTTCTTTGTATATAATATGATAGCAAGACTTGAAAAAGTTCCGGAAAAGAATGATAATGTACTTATATGCATCTGATTCAAGTGTTAGCTTCAATAAATTTTGAGAAAATATATGAAAGAAAAGTAAATGGTTGATGACTAACTTTTTTCATCATTTGTCAGGTAGATCATCAAAAAGTATGGAAGACGTATTTTCTATTTTTATTATACATTATTAGAGTATTACGGATATACGTATATTGATTTGAAATCAATATTATTACTTATATCATTTTTCGTACAATTTTAACTAAAAAGTGACGACACGAGCGAGCCCCGCTTCCCAAACTTTGACGCGCTTAACTTAGTAATTTTTTGGTTGATTGACCAAAGGAAAAAAATAGTAGCACCCCGTCATCATCCCTATTCCTTTTTTAAGACAGATGACACCACCCCATCTGATATTAAGGGGGAGGTAGAGTCCATATGCGATTATTTTGAAATATTACACAAGCTTTGATACTTACCAAAATCATACTTTTAAGTAAACAAAGACGTGTTAGTCAATTCTTTAAGTTCTTAAATAAAATGAGATTAAAATCGTGTTTAAGCCTCATTCCCAACGATATCAAATTTAATATCGTTGCTCATTCCATATCTTTCGAAGTCTGCGTCTGCGAATTTGTAGGCACTGCGCAAATGATACTCTGATATCGCCAGTGGTGTTGATTCTGGCATAATTCTCTAAAATTAAAACTGAATCTCCTATCCTAGGAATTTCTCTGCACATATAAGAAATAAAAAATGGCTTGATTTTTTTTAAATGTTACAAGAATGGCATACTATATCCCATTTGTGAGCTTTCGTTGCGTGCGCTGCGTAAACGGCAAGAATTATCCCCTTTAAAAGTTCTAATACACTTACTGTCGCGAACTTGGATAAACTATCTTTTATATTTATCTTCTATGGGGGGCCAGTATAACCTTTTTCCTCAAATTAACACGGGTGAAACTGTAGTGACTTTATAAATGTCATGTGCTACCCATGTTTATTATGGAAGGTAAATAAATTCTATTCTAACTATGTTGTACCTATGTTGAATAGTGTATTATTCCATTTAACCAACGTAAGTGAGATCAAGGCTCACTACTTGTGGTAGTGTAATGAATACATAAATGTTTTATGTAGGTATTTATACACTATGTATAACATACCAATGCAATGAGAATGAGACTGATGCACCATGTACTCATGCATCAGACGAGACGATTAAAAGCGCGCATAAAATGGTTAGATATTTGTATTACTTTTTCTATGTTATGAGCTGAGGTTATGAGAGCTTAAATCATGGAGGATTTTTGTCAACGTAATATGTTGATGTTTCCTCAAATCTTTGGGTTTCTTTACTTTTTATAGTGTTTACGATTACTTCATTCCGATTAATAACACTAAACATCAGCCTTAGAAACGGAGTAGGTAAATGTTAAGACCAATTCAAAGATTTATTGATTCGATATGTTTGTTTTCGTTATGGAATTTATATATAGCCTAAGGCTTCTTTTCGGCTACATCATGAAACCCAGAGTTTCAATTTAGGCAATGATCTGATCCATGTCCTTGTCTACAGCCTCATTTCGTCATCATCATCAGATCAGCCGTGCTATTCTGTAAGATCAAAGTCACTTTTCACCACGTAATTCGCCGGTGTGATTTTAAATTCGTGTTCTCTATTATATTATAAACCAAAAAACCAAAAAAATTGCTGGTAACAAATAAAACTTTTACGTGTTCACATTTTTGTAGGATTTTAATTGGAACGCAAATAAAACTATGATCCTTTCACATCACTGACACGGGTAAATCTAAACTAGGAACATGTACATATTAAGATTAGATACACATTTTAAGATTAAATAATAAAATAAGAGTGTTTCCTACAAAATTGGTCATTTCGGTGGAAACGTCCACGACGTCACCAGTTTTCGTGGAGCGCGTACTTCAAACTGATATAAAAAAACTAAAGTTCAGAGAGCACTGAATCTTTATTCACAATGCCATCTACATATTTTGCCTAAGCCTAATAAAAAAAACAGAACAGCCCACAGAGGACACTCAAGTGTCTTCGGACATTTGACTGGAAAAACTTTTGTGACACTTAAATGTCATGGGATTTTTGGGAGGGTACAAAGCTTGAGAAAAGGTATCATAACAACCGTGGTGTTTTGTATACCTGTACGTATTATACGTTTGTAGCGTTTTTTCATCATTTTTATATCTATAGCAAAGGCAAGGGAGTGTTTTGTAATCAATCGACTCCGCAATCTCGCGGGATACCGGATTCTATCTCCGGTCGGGTCAACAATTTAAAGTAGTATAAAATATTTATTTTATACAAAGTAGTATAAAATATTTAATATTGACTCAGAGAGTTGAATTTTAAAAGACTTTCCTAGTCATGAAGGACTTTTTCGTGTTCACATTTTTGTAGGTTTAACTTCTATCGCACACACTAACAGCACACGTCCGTTTTTTTTATGTTTAAAAAATCAGTTATCACTGTGCCTGCTTGTATGTTCGCGACAGCAGATTTTTTTCTGTTTTGTATTCGCGACAATGCGATCATCCCAAAAGAAACTACTGAACGAAGCTTTCATGCGGTTTTCACCATTATTAGATCTCACTATTTTTCACGGAAGCTCGTGTAGGTATACATTTCAAAAAGCTAAATATAAGCGGTCTTACTAAACCGAAACGAAACCACTTTATAAAATAATATTAAATCGTGTCTTAAAACAGATAAAAATATGCCTAAGTCACGGTGCATGGAAATGTACAAATCTGCACCTAGGGTATTTATTTAAATCAATATAAAGTCAATAGTGCATAAGTCTTTTACGTTTAATCAATGTAATAGATGCAACCTTGACAAACGCATGCATCAAGCAAGATCAACAAGAGTTGACGATACGATAATTGTTAAAACTACCTATATTTGCAAATCAAACATGCAGCTGCACCCTGAATAAGAAATACTTATGTCATGGACCAATCATAACTGCGAATATATATATATATATTAACACAAACACCAATTAGCCTAAATGCCCCTAAGTGTACGCCCCAACTGTAGGCTACTATTATGGGTAACGGAGAGAATACATATACTGATACATATATAAGTAAATTTATATAGAAATACATATTTAACATCCATGACTAGAGTATAAATGTTCATATTCATCACACAAACAACTGCCCCCACCGGGATTCTAACCTCCTCGAGTAGGCGACACCCGACTATGGTCCATATCCACACGTGTAATAAAAATGAGCTAAAAAAACCTTTAAAGTTGAGGAGCTCTGTTGTAATTAGCGTTACCACGCGTGCGGATAAAGTCGGACATAGAGTTAGGCTTTTTGATTGCGTGTCCGGCTAAAGTAAACGGTGTCCGCCTTGTCCAGCTTTGGTTAGGCTTTTTACATTTAGTGAACGAGCGAGCGCCGAGCGTGGCCGAGTGCAAGCTAGTTGACTGTCGGGCGCTTTTACATGATTTTTTTGTCGTACGTAATATTACTGAGCCACGAAATAATCTTAGTAATGTAGTTAGGGTGTCCGGCCTTTTTACCCAAATGTACGGCCAAACTGGCTGGTCTGTCCGGCAATTAGGTTTCGCGACCTGGCAACCCTTGTTGTAAGTGGTTAGCGCGCTCGGACTTGCAATCGTGGAAGTTTAGCACCTTTTGCAATGGCCACTGATAGGATAGGGTACCAATATTAAATTTTGGTACTTACCAACTTTTTACATCAAACTTGTGGGTTAGAATAAATTCGCTGTGCCTTGTGCTAAAAAAGTCCTGGTTATTATTCGAATACTTTGTTATTTGTTCGATAAGATTATAGTTGTAGCGTAGAAACAAAAGCGTTAAATTGCAAGCTATTTGCATATTAACTTTCCGGAATATGCATCTGGAAATTGTCAGTTCTAAAGTATGTCAAGATCGAAATGGGAAACAAACTTGATATTATTTAAGGATCATTATTTTGTTTCCAATTTACTTTTCAATCAACTTATTTATGGTTCGTGTTTATTATAAACGAACCATGATGAAAAAGTTTCAATTTAGATTACAGTAAAAAATAATCATAATAATCATAATCAAAATCATTTATTCAGTTTAGGCTGTTACAAGCACATATGAATGTCTAGAAGCTACGCCATCGGTTCGTAAATCTACGGCGGGAGACCTTGTACTGAGAAGAACCGGCAAGAAACTCAGCAAGGGCTGTTTTTTTCTCCCTGTTTTATTATTTACAGAGTCGTCAAATTGAAAAATGACTTCAGAGGTGATTCATGAAGTCACTTTTCATTACATAATTATTAAATATACATTAATTGTTTACCTGCATTTTGATTGCTGTGTCATACAGTATAAATACAAATAGTGTTATTTATATTCAGTGTGACTAAACATTAACTTCAATATTAAGGAAGTTAGGGCAGACTCATCTCCGCTGGCAGCACCCGTTCACGAGCATGACGCATGAACCAGCCATCGCTTCGCTCAACCATATTTTAGGGAACGTAACGACCCGCCTCACACGACACCGCCGAAGAGACTATTATGAGAGCATGACTACCCATAACTACCCATACTAACTACAACATATTTACTTAAATTAAGGTCATTTACCAGTAAGACACAACAAACAATTACAAAACAAAGCAAAGGAGAAATCACGACCACGCCGTTTTATTAATTTATATTATTTACGGGATTGTTCAATAGACAACTTCCCCTTGGAGAAACCTTGTGTCTATAAGATCGATTGCAGCTTTAGCAGTTCGTACATTAGCCTAACAATGCGAACAGAAGCGTGCCGAATGAGGGAACACATAAAAGCAGTCAAGAACAACGATACGCAGAAATCAGCCATCGCGGAATATGTTCACGCGAACTTGCTCGCTCGGCTGAACAGTTTTGTGACTATGACGAGCGAGCCAAGCGAGCGTGGCTCAGGAGCAGCCGGCGAAGCGCCAAAAAAATTAAGATGGAGAAATAGCATTGGCATTGTCTAATTATCCGCGTTTCCGTAAAATCCCAAGGGTTTTGTGAATAAGCAGCAGCTTTCGCTGTTAGCATCAGAACAACATTCGTCCATTTGCTTCAAATGGGCGAGGTAAAAAAGCTTCACAAAGTGTCATGTCAGGGGCACCCACGAATTTAATGATCGCCAGCGCGAAGTACCTACGCGTCCAGTCGAACCTTGCACTGCTCAGCAGACACACAAACGAAGACATATTGAATCACATTGTTACTTGCGACAAAAAATGGATTCTGTTCGACAATCGCATGCGCTCAGCAAGTTGGTTAGATCCTGGTTCAGCACCTAAAAATGCCCCAAACGAAAACTGACACCTAATAAAGTGATGGTCACTGTTTATTAAAAAAGACAACATTTGGCAGGTTTGATATCCAGAGATTTATCTCATGTCCATCGATCTATACCCTCTCTTAGTTTCAATGGTACTATGTTATTTGTCACTATGCTGACAATGAATGGCGAATGCTTATTGCGTAATACAAACATTAGTGATAAGATAACAGAGATAACATCGTAACCCCTACAAAACATTTCCAGTTTGTGTTCCAACATCGAGGAGGGCGCACGTCAAAAAATTTCATTTCGCGAATACGTGAGTTTCGTAGTTAGTCTATTTTTAGGTCTGTAATATTCATATCGTCATCGACGGCCGGCTGAGGATTGAAAGTGTGTTCTGTGTACATATAATATACTTTATGTTCATGATAATAAGTGTTTTTTTCTGTATCTTAAAAATTTTGGGTACCTACCTAACCTAAGTATGGTCTAATTTTAGCTGTCAGATTTTCAGCTATTTCATCTTTCAGTAAAATATTTTTCGCAAACCTTCGTCGTGTTTAAATGGATTGATTTAAAGACTTTCAATAAGCCCAAAACTTTAATTAGCTGTTTGAAATAATGAAGTCAGCTCACATCGCAATTAAGAACTTCAATTTTCAGGTTAATATACTTACATTCAGTGAAAACCTATAAGAGGCTGTCATGCTAGGTGAACTTTCCACTCCAATTTGAGTTTTTTAGAAGTTCAAATTAAATAAAACAGAGAGGCTGTTGTTGCCCATAAATAACTCTTTATTTTATAAGTACAGTTTAGATAAAATAAAATTAGATAAAAATACGTGTCTAGTGCTTTTTGATATAATGTATCTGATAGGCGAGGTAAAAAAGTTACATCATTAACCCTAAATTGTTGTTTGTCCCCCAAACTAATAAATCGAATTTCTCCTAAGTAACAAAAATAGTAAAACTAACATAAATATTGCATATTGTAGGTATATGAATGAATAAAATTAACTAAAATTTATTTATTTTCAGTATCAATAAAAGAAGCAATGAAGATTGGGTTCATTGGCGGTGGTAGATTGGCGTTTGCATTAGCCAATGGATTTATATCGGCAGGTAAATCTAACATGGTACTTTTTCATTAAGAATTTATTTGAAGTATGAAGAGCTTTCTCCGATCAAAGTTCATTTTAAAATTATTAAGGACGATTCTGAAGCTTTTGATAAACCAACTTGAATAAAGTTCATTTTCATTTCATTAAATTATATTTTTAGTCCCCGATGAAAAAAGAACGATGTTATAAGGTTGACGTGTGTGTATCTGTGTTTGTCTGCGGCATCGTAGCTCGTAAACGAATGGACCGATTTGGATGCGGTTTTTTTATTTGAAAGCTGTCAAAATCGAAATGGTTCTTAGCTATAAATTATAGACTCTGTTCAGGGATTTGAAGATCCTCATCTTTTGTCAGCTGTGGAGTGCAAAAAAATATATCATAACGTGACAGTATTAAAGAATAGCACTGGAGTTGTGCTAGTCGCGTTCACGCGCGGATTTTGTGTTTTAATTTTGAAGAAAAAAATGGGGAAAATTTTGTTTCTTTACAAAATAGCAGTGCTGTTATTGATTTAGAATTTGTTGCACATTTACCTTGGTGGTATTTCCAAGACATGGTCATGATGATGGTAATTTCTCAGCTACTTATATTAGATGTTGCGCGTTTGCACAATTTATTAAATGACGATCGAGACATTGTAAGTAGTGTGTGTGTCTATTAGTGATTAAAAAATATTGAAACAAAAATTAAAGGGCTCAGGTCAAATTCGTAAGGAGGGTGGTAGTGAGTCTCTGGCAGACTCCAAATCTTTATAGCACTTAAATCGTATGACAGCAATCTAGAATTTATTTTACCCCTGTCTTTTTAGGGTTCCGTAGTCCTGACAAGGAACCCTTATTGTTTCGTCATGTCCGTCTGTCCGTCCCCGTTTTTTCTTAGAGACTATTAGTACTAGAGGGCTGTGATTTTGTGGAGATATGTATATCGATCACGCCGACAAAACGGTAGAACAAAAATCTGGAATATATTTTTTTAGGGTAGCTCCCCTATATGTAACCTGGGGATGATTTTTTTTCATCGTCTACCCCATCGTGTAGGATATCGTTGAATAGGTACTTTAAAATTACTTAGGAGTTCCTAAGACTATTTTTCGATTTAGGAATCCGTTTGCATAATATTGAACTTTAAAGTCCTAATTTTTGTTCAAGTAGGACGTCCTCTCCCTGTAAAAGCTAAAGTATTGAATTGAAAAATCAGGAAAAAATCATGATAATACTGATTTTCATGAACTTTTAAGGGAAACTATAACGGTTAATATAGATTAGTTAGTTTAAGAGTAATAAGTCGTTCTACTTTGGTTAAAGAAAATTTCTTACCTTTTGAAAATTCCGTCTAAGAAAACATTAATAGTGACTTAGTATAAGCACTTGAAAAGATCGGCGGTTATATTATACCGCGTCATCACCTTCTCAGGGGATGATCGCTTCAGATGATGGCGTTCATCTCTCATTATGTTATTAGGTATATTGTGGGTAAAGAATTTCAAGAATAAAATCAATCAATAATTGTTATAATCACTTCACTACGATTTCACGAATATCGGGCGTGACTGGACTGATTGACATTTTACAGTGATTGAGTTGACGTTAATTAACTGCTGCAGACTAAAAATATGACGTTACTTATAACAGGGTGGCCAGCATCCTCACGAAATTATACAATTTTCAAACCCGATTTAAAGTTAATCGGATATAAATAAAAAATTATAGATATCTGTAAATGTCATTACTTCAAAACGAGCATTGAAATGATATATGTTTCATTGCTGCCGGAAACCGTCTCCTTTGAATTAAAAAAAAAAGCTAAAAAGTGAATAATAAAATGAGTTGGCCCTTTAACTTTAATATACTACTTAGTAATAGTTTTGACCCAGACATCGTCAAGTCGCGATACTGCGATAAGAGAGAGTCATCATCTCAGCCGTACGACGCCCAATGTTGAGCATAGGCCTCCCCCAAGGATCTCCAAAATCGATCGGTCCTGTGCCACGCGCATCCATCGGCATCCCACGATCTTCACCAGATCGCCGTTCCACTTGGTGGGGGATCTTCCCACAGAGTTTCGTCCGATGCGTGGTCGCCAAAGGAGAACCTTTCCACCCCAACGGCCACCGGTTCCCCTCGCTATGTGTCCCGCCCACTACCACTTCAGCTGAGCACTCCTTCGAGCGAAGTCGGTTACTTCTTCTGCGGAATTCCTCACTTTTTATTCCATCACGCAGGAAAATACTAAAGAATCGCTCTAAGAGAGAGTAACCAAACGTCCTCTTATTGTACTTCTCCACACTTCTCAGGACCTGTAAGTTACATTGCTAAAAAGTATTTATCTAATAAATAAAATTTCCTATGGTTTATTTGGTATCATATTAATTACTTTCCTTATGGTTCCAGGGCTAGCGAAGCCGGATGAAATCACAGCGAGCTGCCATCCGGCTGATGTGATGAGTGCAGACGCATTCAAGGTAAAATATGTACTTACGAGCTGAATATTCGTTGCTTCATTATGTAACGGATGCCACCGTCTATTAATTCGGGTTAATTTTCTACTGCTTACAAATACTGCAAATGTTCTAGGGATACTTTTCAAGCATAGCAAATATGGAAGACTGGGTTTGCAAATTTTTTAAAAGATATTTTTATTGCTAAAAGGTTTCTTCCCATTCCCTTGGATCTTTTATTAATGCAAAGGTATATATTATACACTTAAATCATTACAATCCCTAATTGGGTAAAATTTAAAAAAAAACCTTTTCTAAACCAATTAATTGTAAGGAAGTAAAAAGTAAAAGAATGAACCTTTAGCTCAATACAGAGCTTGACTTCTGGAGCAAAACCAATTGAGATACGTTTTGATTTTATCCATGACGTAAGCAGCGCGTCAGGACAACCTTGACTTTGTCTCTTGGCCAATAAAGATAGACAGATACTATGTTATCAAGTTAGATTTAAAATATTTGTTCTCTGTATTATAATAAACACCATAATACTAAAATAGTTTTATGGTGGCTGGGTGGCTGCGTACTCATGTCATTAATAGTTATATAAATTGATAAAAAATTGCACAACGAGGTGCAAACATCAAAACAGTGGTCAGAAGTAACCATAGAGCAACGCGGCCGACGCGGCCAAGAGGGGAGTAGGCATTCCCCTCTGTCGATTTTCCTCCGCTGTTGGGTCAGCTCAAAAACAAAACTACACTCGCGAGCAAAAGTCTGAAATCACTTACTTGAAATTGGTTCCACGCGAACAAGTGTACTAAATATTTTTTTAAATAATCATAAATATGACATCATTTTAAAGGTTCATCTCCTAACTTTAAACTGATACCAAATTCATTGAAATCAAGCCAGTATTTAAGAAGCTATCCCGGATTAAGTGAAGGAATAACGAAAAAGACGTGTTTCAATTTTTTGATACGTCCGTTTAAACATCCGTTATTTCACCTGTTATCGGATTTTCTTTATCAGTCGACTTTCACACGTTGACCGGTACACATCTTCGCTACTTTTGACCCTTTACCTTGTACGACAATGAAGACAACACCCACAGAAGCAGCACAAATCGTAGCCCTATTGCAAGAAGGGCTCAGCCAGCGGGTTGGCGCTCGTCGGCTCCACATAAGCCAGTCCTGTATTTCGAACAAGAGCTTTCGGGGACTTATCAACTAATAAAATAATAACAACTGAATACCACGGAGAAGTCGGTATCGCCACATTGGACTGGCCAGTACTCAGACCTAACTTGAATCCCATTGAACACGTGTGGGATGAACTGAAGAGAAGGGTTCGTTCCAGAACTCCTGCTCCTTGATGTCTGCATGAGCTGGAATCGGCGTTGATTGAGGAATGGGAAGGCATCCCACAAGAATCAATTGAGAAGCTGATCAGGTCTATGAAGAATCGTCTTCGAGCAGGTATTAGGGCGAGGGGAGGGAACAAAAAGTACTGACAATTAATTTTAAGGCCAAATAAAATTGTTATTTATTAATTTTTGTTGTTTCATTCATTCATTATTTTTCCATATTTCCTTGTTTTGCTACCTCCTTCACTTAATCCGGGATAGCTCCTTAACTATTGGTTCGATTTGTATTGATTTGGTATCAATTTAAAGTGGAAACTTTAAACTTTAAAATTATGTAACTTTTATGATAATTATATTTTTTTTAGAAAGCAAGATCGCGCGGAAGCAATTTCAAGTAAGTGATTCCAAACTTTTGCTCGCGAGTGTAGTTGCACGTCGGATATTTCACTAGACTGGGTCAAGTTGCGCGTGTGTATGTTAGAGATCAAAAATTCCAAAATGTTTAATTTGCTGTAAAACATATCTGGAATATAAAACTTTCAAAACGATGGTGTTCAATTTCATATCTAACTAGAATCATTAACATATAATTTCTATTTAACCACTATTACACACAAAATTCATTTTTATTTTGTTAAATTTCAACCGTCTTGGGTCCCTTTGAAAAATAGTTGTGCCCTGAAGATTTTTTTGGATGTTGTAGGCAAAATACGCTATATTCACATTCAAAAGAAATTTCCAATTTAGTCACCCTGGTTCACGAGATATAATTTATTTTCTGTTCTGGAAATTGAGGTTATAAGATAGCTAGATGACATTAACATTTTCTCCATGCTTTTCTTAACTAGGTCCTATCTACATCACTATATTGATATAAACTTGCATATTATAATGTATAAGAGCACAATAATGTTTCAGTTAGCAATCAACAATCAATAATTACAAAACAATACAATTTATTATTATTTATTTACAATCTTTTTCTGGTTCTTTGGCTGGTTTTGAATTAAATGATTTTGTATTTTTGTATAAGTATCGATTCGTAGTAGTACTCATACGAGAAGCATTGAAAAATGCCTTGAGTACTATTTATATGAGTAGGTAATGTTCCGATATCTACAAGGTATCAAACCTTGTAGACATCGGAACATTCCTAGTGATGTTAGACTCGAGCCGTGTTTTATTCGAGTCACTCGCGTAGTTTTTATTTTACTCGCACTTGAATAATAAAATTAAGTCCAGGTATAGCCGATGTATCTTCTATTTGAAAATACAAAGTGAGTTATTTGGTATTTGATTTGATTGATTGTTAACATTTTATTTACTTTTGTATTTTATTTACTTTAAAGTCACATCTTTACTCCAACTTTTAAAACTTTTATCTATAAAAAATCCCTCAAGTCTCATCTTCAAACCCTCTACTCTAGTGGCATTCGAGTGACTAGGTCTTAACACAGTCGAGTAATCAAACACAGAAATCATTTGAGTACCAATGAAGATAAAAATCGAGTGATTTCCTACCATATTGATGTCTCTTACTATTATATATTATTTATATAATTTGATAAAAATCTGAATTTACTTTTAGCGAAATCACAATTTTAAAATCGATTAATCAATAAAGTTGTTTAATACCTGGCAACATTATACCCATCGAGAAATACGTCTAAAAAAAATTTGTCAAGCGGAAATTGAAATTGGGCAAATATCTAATTAATTATGTCTTAATACCCAGGGTGAAAGAAATTACGATTTAAATGTCACGAGCATAAAAAAATAAATCCCATTTTTAGGTACTTATTTGAATGAGGCACAAGATACCTCAAAAGGGACCTATGTCTCTCATTCATGCATTCTCCTTTCAGATTTGTCAATAATAATCTTAAGTTTCATATATGCCCGAATTAGCGCTGTCATTTTTTATGTGTGTGTCGTAATAACAATAATTGTTAACGCAGTCCAACGCAAAAACGAAATCAATTATTGATTTCGTTTTTGCGTTGGACTGCGTTTGTGTGCATATTCCTCCCCCCACAAAAAGCGGACAGAATAATTTCAGTAGGATTATAGCCACTCCCGTCCTAGAAGCGTCGGTCGGCTGTTTTGCTCTTTGAAAAATGTTGACAAACCGACAAAGGTTGAAAAAAATAGAAATGTGTTATACTTACTACTTATTCTAAATACCCCAACCTTTTTTTTTGCAAATACATTAAATGTACAGGCACGCGAAGCTTACATTATTTTTATATGTATGTATGTATATATATATATATATATATATATAAATATATATAATATATATATATATATATAATATATATATATATATATATTATATAGATTTTGTTTTACTTTTGTAGAAATTGGGAGCAACAGCCCTCTTTGATAATAAGCCTGTAGTGGAGAGATCTGAAGTGATCATTGTGTCCGTGAAGCCTGATGTGGTCGGCAAGGCCCTTATGGAGGTGAAGAACCTACAGGCGTCTAATAACAAGCTCTTCATATCCGTGGCCATGGGGGTGTCTACTGCCAGTATTGAGAAGGTCAGTTCTTCCAAAATTGTGCGATTACAGATTCCAATTAAAGAAGATACAATTTAAATCATTTTCATATTTTGACAACTTTTCGTCTCCTTGGAAGCCCGTCTATATTCATGTTCATCGTTATGCGAGTAATTACATTGGAAATCATACATGCATACTTACTGTATGTAGGTAGACATAGTCGCCGCTTTCCGCGTCTGTCTGTATAACTGCTGACTACTATTATAAACCACGCAACGGTTTGTGGCGCTGATTCACCATCAGTTACATAATTTTCACTGAACGTTTATTTATATTATGCCTACACTGCAAACTGAAGAACTTCAACTTCAATCGACACTGTCTGACACAAATAGTCATCAGAATCATCATCAGCAGATATACAGGCCTTCCCTATGGCTGGAATAGGGAGACTAGGCCGTAACGTGACGTGATCCACCATGCGGGCCCATTGCGTGTTGGTGGGAGCTAACGACTGCAGATGCAGCTGGGACCAACGCCTTAACGTGCTTACCGAAGCACGGAGAAGCTCGAAATAATAAGTTTTTCGTCACCCATCCAATGACCGACCATTTCGAAAGTTGCTTAACTTTCACGATCGCAGGCAAATGTGCTAACTACCTGCGACATCGACCTCCTGGAGTCCTGTCAGTAATAGTACTGAATAAAAATATCGTTACCTTTCAAGATGCTACCGAGCGCCGCCCGTGTGATCCGAGTGATGCCCAACACTCCAGCGCTGGTGAAGCAGGGCGCCGCAGCTCTCTGTCGGGGAACTCTCACCACGGATCAAGACGTCCAGCTCGCCACCAAGCTGTTCCAGGCGGTGGGATCGTGCGAAGAAGTACCCGAGTACCAGATGGACGCAGTCACAGCGCTCAGCGGCAGTGGACCCGCTTACGTAAGTATTCCTTTTCATAAGATAATAATTTCACGCAGAAATTTAGCACACTGAACATGGGATATGAGATCCGAGTAATTTCCAACTGCCAAGTTCTTGTCACAGCACTATCACCACGTACCAAGACGTCCAGCTCGCCACTAAGCTGTTCTAGGCGTAGGGCTCGTGCGATGAAGTAGCGGAGTACCATCAACGCAGTCACAGCACTTAGCGGCAGTAGACCTGCTTACGTATTATGTATTCCATTCCACAAGTTCATAATTTCATGCAGAAATGTAGCGATCTGTGATTGGGGCAATGCCCAACTGCCAAACTCTATCGCGGCACCGATCAGGATGACCAGCTCGCCAAGCCAAGCTGTTTCAGACGATATGGGCTCGTGCGACAAAGTGCCGGAATACCAGATAGAGACGCCGTCACAGCTCTTAGCGGCAGTGGACTCGTTTACGTAAGTAACCATCTTAAGAACATACGAGTAATAACATGCAGAAATTTAGCATGCTGCGCCTTCGACTGCATGGGACTGCAAGAAATGGAAGAATGTATTTAGAAGAAAAAAGTAGGATACAGTGGATTGCTCATTCAAATTGAAGCGAACACCCCAGCTGTGAAGCAAGGCGCCGCAGCGTTCTGTCAAGGCACTATCACCACAAACCAGGACGTCCAACTCGGTACTAAGCTATTCCAGGTGGTGGGCGACGAAGTGCCTCAATACTATATGGATTCTGTCACAGCTCTTAGTGGCAGTGGACCGCTTATGGAAGTATTCCAGGAGTACAAGTCCTAATTTTACGGAGAAATGTAGCATTCTGGGCAAGCGATATCGTTAGACTGGAATTCCTCTTTATCTTAGTGCTATCAGCGACTACTTAGAGTGACTTTGAGAAAGAATTTACTTAAATGTTGGAAAAACGTTACGTAGCGGGTGGGCTAGCGTAAAGTTCAGCCCAACGAATTCAAGCAGACTGTCGTCGCTCGCTGGGCTGTCATGCCCAGGCAGTTAGACAGCACGCTCATGGACGGTTCGTAAGTATTAAAAGGAATTTCAGCCTAAGCCTCGCCGCAGTGTTTACCAACTCGCCTCTCTGCCCTGGTGATACGTGGTCAGGATTTACATTAACATTCGCCCCTTTTTAAATTATTTTGAAGAGCGCCTGGTAAATCTCTTTTACCCTTTTTTTTCGCAGACAAAACCTTAATCTTTACAGACGTTGGCGCCCTTAAGGGACACATCAACGAACGGTCCTCTCGCCTAGCCTCTCGCATGTCTCACGGGTGCGAAACGGAAAAGCCGTTAAGCAGTCCGCTTGGCTTCTGAGTGCTTACTGAATACTATCCGCTAAAAAACCCTGCTAATACCCTTTACGCTGTAAAGTGCAGAATCGGGAGATCCCCGTTGAGGGATTTCACCGCGTCTCCACATCCGACATGTAGGACTGTACAAAAATAGAGGGCTGTCCTCACGGAATCCGTCGGTGACCGCAAGCAGTGCGAGATTCACTCGCGAGCGCAGCCTTCACCTTCCCCTACCTGTACTTTTGCGGCGCGTCCCTCTCGGCCTCCCTCGTCCCTTAGGTTCTTAATCAAATCCTCTTTGTTTCCAGGTGTACATGCTAATAGAATCTTTAGCGGACGGGGGCGTCCGCTGCGGTCTGCCCCGAGATTTGGCTCTGCGTCTGGCGACACAAACCACGCTCGGCGCGGCCGCCATGTTGAAGGAGGGCGGACATCCGGCCGCCATGAAGGACAATGTCACCAGCCCCGCAGGGTCAACGGCCGAGGGGACTTACCATTTGGAAAAGAACGGTAAGTGAGAAACGCACGGGACGAACGGTAAGTAATTTGTTTCAAATACGGTTAATCTTTTTACGAGATTTGATAGCTGTATTGTTAATCTATTAACATTTGATATATTTGTTTCTTAGGTATTAACGCACATCACTCATTAAATAAAACTAGTCTACGAAACGTCAATAAATAAATAAAGTTTCGTGCATTAACCCGTAAAAACTAGTTTTATTTAACATTTGATATGTTACAAAATTCAGTGCTATTCTGTAAAAAAACGGTTGTCTGTAAAGTTGGTTTACTGACGATAGTTAAACGTGACAACGTTATTTTACAATGTACATAGTTTTTACAAGTATGAATGGCTTTTTTGAAATCATAGCTACGCTCGATAATTATTTCGATCGAATAGTAAAGCAATTGATTTTTTACTTATCGTGAAATAGTTCTGTTAACTTATTGTTCTAGTTTTGTCAATTAAAGCATAACCTACAATCGCTGCACTAGCGGACCGATGCTATTTATTTTAATGATGAAAGCACGAATATTCGACAATATATCACTGAACATATATTTAATATCGAAAGAATCATTACCATTATCGCCGCAATTATCGTTTCTATAAACAATTGACACAATATTCACTTTTCACTGCACTTCATACTTGACGAAAACATGTAAAAGTATTATTGTAAAGCAGCTGTCCACGCGGACGCATCGCTCACTCAAGTAGGAGAGAGACAGATGTCGAACGCTGCCGAACGCGGAGGCCGATTGTGCCTTTTTGTCGCTCGTTGCGCGCTCTCGCTTGCACTTCAAGCCTTAAATGGAACGCCTCAGAGCGAGGTAACGCCGCATGAGTCATGTTTTTTCGTGCGTGCAGCTGGTTCCATCGAATTATAAGATGTTGTCACGTCAAAAATGTCACTTATCACAGTCCACCAATCTGTTTGTTCTTATACACTGCTGAAGTTTGAGAAGTTGTAATGCTGATAAAACTTTGTCTTACTTTAGGTTTCCGTGCAGCAATCATCGGCGCTGTGAAAGCTGCGGAAGAAAGGTGCAAACAAGTAAACAAACAACTTTCGGAAAACTTTTAACGTATTCTCATATGTAAATAAGATAATAGAGAAATTTATTATTATTTAAAATAATTATTAATACGTAATCTGAGAGCTAATTGCCTCACTCTTACTTTTCAAGGCTAAAGAAAATTATCGGAATCTATCTCAACAAAGAAATGAAAGAAACCAAGGAAAGCGAAAAAGTTACACAATTAGATCTCATGTCTTTATATTAATTAAGTTTAAAAATAAATATCTTATTTTAATAATGCTTGATTTTTCAATCTATGGTTACCTGATGAATGTGACACACAACCATCTAGGTATATATTAGATAGGTGCCGTATGAGGATCTTTCATCTTTAATAGTAGATTATTAACCAAGGGGATAAAGCAGTGTCTTCTGTCGCGGGTGACGATTTAAATCGCGAGCGTAACGAAGGACTCGAGGTTTACTCCCGAGCGTAGCGAGGGTGTTAAAAACTTAAATCACGAGCGAAGGAGCGAAGCGGGGGATTTAAGACGAGTCCTGGGTGTAGCGAGGTATTTAAGTTCACCCAAGACTAAGACAGCTTTATCACTGAGGAAAATACTCTACTTTTCGTACCATTTTCGAAAAAATTAACACAATAATAATATGAGATATGCATATTTTTTTTTCAAAAAGATGTACGTATAATTCTTTATATACAAACTCAATGGTGTAAACACAGATGTAGTTCAGTATTTTCGGTAAGTATTCCAAAAAATCACATTCACCCCCTAGAGGATGAATGAAATTCAGTACAATTTTCTTTCCCTGTTTTTATCAGATTAAAAATGACTACTGTTATGTTCGCTTTTTGTGGCATAGAATGTCACTTTTTTGAACAAGTGGTACGAAAAAGAGTTTTTTTATGTTAAAAGGGTGGAAATCGAGCTGATGGCCCGCTTGATAGTATGCATCCACGTGGCATCCACCATAGCCTATAGATGCATGCGATACCAAAAATATCACCCACACGTTTGTCTACTCTACCATGACCCAATTTTGACGACCTCCGTGGCTGAGTGGTTTGTACCGCCGGGTTTCATGGTGTGGCCGACCCGAGAGGTCCCGGGTTCGAATCCCGATGGGGGCAGATGTTTGAGTGATGATTATGAGCATTTGTACTCCAGTCATGGATGTTTAATATGTATTTCTATACAAATATATGTACAGTATATGTATACTATCCGTTACCCTAGTATCCCATAACACAAGCCTTACATTGCTTACTTTGGGGCTAGGCTAATGGGTGTGTGTGTTGAAAATATTTAATTTAATCCCCTGCCTCGTAGAGCCCTGAAACCTTACTTACCGACAGAAAGACAACATCACCAAAAAGTAGTGTTATTTTACTGTGATCTTCGGTAAGGACAGCCTGTGACTTAGATTTTGGGTCACAGGGATGTCCCCAAAATCTGTCCTCCTCCGGAATTTTTTAATTATATGACTCCATATAATTTAAAAAAGCCGGACAAAGTTCGGACATAAGGCAAAAAGTCTGGACACGTCGGACGGATGGTAACCCTAGCCACGACCGAATTAATGCAAACTTACATGCCCGGGTAAGTATAGCGTAAATACAAAAGCAGATCCAACAGCTGTTCTGTCATCTATCATCCACGTAACCTATTTCCATCATAAATATACATCAACACCCCACTAAAAAATTAAGTCCTGCGCCCCCTTATGTACACAAGTACCGGACCGGTCGAATCATGAAGATAGGAGTTAATAAAAAAGTTAAAAAGTGCTCCAAGCTGTTTAAAACATCCAATTACGTTCTGGCGCTTCACCAGCCATTGCCGCAGAACGCTCGCTCCGCACGCACCTGGTTTTGGTCGCAACTCGCACTGACCAAACCTCATCTGATCAAACGAGGAGTCCACTCAATAACGCTGTCACTGTTTTAAGCCATCCACACGTTAATGCTGCACAGAATATGGTTATCTGCTGTGTTGTTCTTTTCATTTTCTTCATTGAAGAAGAAAAAATGCGGGTGCACTACTGTGCACCGTTGTGTTGCAGGCAGCTAGGTTTGGACCATATTGGACAATTTTTAACTGCTTTAAAACATCTGCAAGATTACAGCACAGGCACAGTCTCAAGACGTTCGGCAACCCTAAACGTGACTTAATTCACATTTAACAATAATGTACTTATGTTTTAACATAAGGTCAAATAAAAAAAGTATTTCGACAGTGGAAAAGCAAAATCGCTTATACGGCACTTTGATGTTGCTTGAAAGTCAACTTTCAGTTTTCATTTAATGTTAATTTTTGCGATTTATTAAATTCGATTTAGTTTTTCCGATGCTGCTTTGATCTGAGGTGCAATCATGGTTACTGGTGCATTCCCAAATAAATTATTTAAAGTACACACAACGCCATCTTGTTGACCAGACTTGTACAAAGTCAAACAGAGCCATCTAGTTAGAGCGATGAAAATTAAAAAATTTCGAAACCAGAGACAATTTTAGGTCTATAAAGATACTCATGTTTTTTTAATTTACAAAGTGTCAAAAATATTAAAGTAGATGGCGCTGCTATTACGTGGGTTTTGTTTACTTGGCAATCAAATCGTATAGTCTGTGTTTCTCTCTGTGGCTGTGAATTTAATTTAGTGTTGCCAGATCGTACCGCTTTTCATATTGTTCTACCGCCTTTTTGACAATGAATCCGCGTTCCGCTTTTTTGGAATCAACCTCTATTTCCTCATTATGCATTCTATATTATCAAATAAGAAATAAGAAGTGAAGAAGTGGGCGCGTTTTTGTGCCCACTCTACCGAGTTTTGAATTTCCTCATTTGGTAACACTGACTTGATCATAGAGAAAGTAACCAACCATTCCGTAATTCGATGAGAAGGAAACCAGTGTTGCCAGATCAGGGGATTTCCCCCTAGATTTAGGGGTATTTCGTCGGGCTCAGGGGAGAAACAGGGGGAAAAATTTTTTAGGGGATTTTTTAGGGGTTTTTCAAAAAAACGCGAATTATTTTTGAGAAAGTTATTCTATTCGATAATTTGAAAGAATAAAGTCATTTGCATAACGAACCGAACGAATCGTCAGATATTAAGAAGTCGGGTGGTCGCGGTCGCGGGTTAAACTTGATTGAATCACTTGACTGCTGCGCCACGGAGATATGATGAACAAATATTGGCAGAGGGAACCCCCTGTCAATATTGAAACTGTTTTTGTCCACGCGTTTTATCCACAAACCCTAACCTATATTACGAGTAACCTTTTCTAACCGCAATAACCTCAAAACCTCATTCTTTTGTACAGTTTTTAACACACTAATCAGTTATTAGTTTTTTATACACCCAGAGCTCATTATAATAACATGCATTTGTCACTCACTGCATCTCGCCGCGGAACAAGCCTGCAAGACGTTGCCAAGGCATATGGATTTTTTGGTACGGGAAACCCACCTTTGGTTCACCCATAGTACCAAAAGACAAATTGCATATGCAAAAATTTATCAAACGCTTTCAGATAAATTGCCAAAAAAATTGTTAAAATGTCCGATACGCGTTGGTTAGTTCGACTTCAGGCTGTTGAAACAATATTGGAGCAATGGGATGCGTTGAAACTTCATTTCCAAATCACTGAAAGTAACGACGAGCGCTGTTATATAGCGTCTCAATTGCACGCAATGTACGCCACACCCGAAAACAAGCTATTTCTAACATTTCTCGCCAATAGCCTGAAAGGTGTTGTAGGACTGAATAAGTTGTTTCAGTCTCAGAACGTTGATCCCGTCAAACTTTTCGAAGACCTTAACAATCTGATGTACAGTCACCTGCAAACCATCGTTGTACCATCTCAACTTCAGAAAGTATCGCGCTATGAACTCGGGACCTTTGATTTTCTTCAACACTTAATGAGCTTGCAATGTGTAAATTTCGGATACGATTTCAACAGTCTTGCTTCGAGCATCAAGCCTGAAACGCTGGTCAATATTAAAGAAAGATGCAGGAATTTTTTAATCACATTGTGCCAACAATTGCAAAAAAGATTGCCCGAGAATATAAAAATTCTCGAAAAACTGTCGACTTTTTCGCCGAACGTAGCTTCATCTCAAGTTAAAGTCGATATCACTGAGATAGCAACCAAGCTTAAAGCCAGTGTGTGCACTGACATCGACAGTACTGTGAAGGAATGGAATCTTCTTCACACTGCCAAAGTTTTGAACCTCCAAAATACCGAAGATTATTGGGCCGAGATTTTCGACATTAAAAATGCTGGCGGACAAAAACGGTTCGGTAATATTGCGCAGCTCGTACTTGCTCTGTTGTGCTTACCGTTTTCGAACGCTTCGGTCGAACGAGCTTTTTCAATATTAAATATTGTTAAAGACAAACTGCGCAACAGAATGTCAATTGCAATTGTAGAGGCAATAATGCACGTCCGACTCACGCTTGGAGTCGATTGCCGCGATTTCAAGCCTACGGTTCTCATGCTCAAACGTTTCACTTCTGAAAATGTTTATAACAACATCAATGATAGTGACCTCGAAGTCCTTAATGTTTTCCCCAGTGATGAATTTTGATACGAATCAGTATCTTCATCGCAAACAGTCATTAAAAGTCGAGAGCATCCATGACTAATTGATATTCTTCTCTATGTATTTTTTTTCCACTTATGATACGAATATATGTGATAATTTCTATAAAAATGTTATTTTGAAAAAATAAAACTAATATTCTCCGTTAAATATATTTTTAATTCATTTTATTTTACTCGTTATTATGTATAATTCTATTTCAAGGCGTATGTTTCGGGATTTAGAATTATATATTTTCGTGATTTGAATTTCGTGCTTCAGAAAGTAGGCGAGCAGGCGAGTGGGGGCATTCAGGGGATTTTTGGGGGGAAACTGAGCGACGCTAGGGGGAAGGCACGGAGACCGTCTGGCAACACTGAAGGAAACGAGTTTAACTTTTTGTTTCCGAATCCGAAAAGGCCCAACGCAATGGCAACTAGAATTACTTTCCTGTAAAATGAAACGAAACGTTGCATTGTAAATGTATAGAAAGAAAATGCTTCTAAATTGAAAGAAGAGTCGAGTCGGGGCTTTGTTTAGTGTGTGTTTTTATGCCGATTAGTGTCCTATTATCTCTGAGGACCCGGTGCTTGTTTACATGCTCTTGAATTGGCTAATACTGTGTCGTTCCGTTTTATTTGTAACTGTAGATCATCATGATGATCGCTTTACGTCCCTATTGAAGTGCCAAAACACGATGCCGGCTACTTCTCACGAGACCAAGGTTCCGGCGCGGTCAGATCTGACCATATTATCCGAGTAAAGTGATCGACCTACGCCGATAATAAAGACTCCTACGCGCCACTTATACTGCGTCGTCGTCGGCCAGAAAACACTACGATGAGAACGAAACTAGACGAAATAGTAATACACACGATATATTATTCCAATACCCTTAAGTGCAATTAGAACAAGGAGTTCTTAGTGGTGAAGAAACAGTGCTAATCCAATTTAATCCTGAGTGTTCAAGTGTTTTTAAATCAGATTTTGTTTGTTTTCACTGTCAAGGTTACAGGTTTTCAACATAAAAGCAACAATCTGGTAAGAATATTAAAAGTTTACCAATTGGTTAGTTATAAGTACTCATTAAATACTATAGTAACTTTACATCACAAATGTTGTTTTTGTTAAATATTATTTGCTAAATTGATAATTTTGTCATTTTCTCTATCATAAAAATGTTACTTATTGGTAATATTTGTGTAATTTATTACATAAGTCTAGACAGAAGAGAATCTAGTTGCTTTCTAACTGGTATACTTAATAGGAATGTTGTTGCTGTGACTTCATTGACAGGAAGTTACAAAAAGTATATTCAGTGAAATCAATAGAACTATTTTTAACATAATTTATTAAGTTTTGAGATTTCAACATCATAACAATAATCATAATGATATTATGATTATTGTTATGATGTCATAAGAAAGATAAAGATGTTAATTCTACTATAATAATCTTGGTAGATAACCGTGTTGTGTGATGAGTAAGGTTCGATCCACAGGGTAGGGAAAAGCACAAGTAATTCTTTGGTATTGTCTCTGTTAGATAAAAAGCTATGTTTGTATTAATAAAAATGAATTTGCGTTATGGGACATCACAACATTTCATTAATACCTTTGTTCGCTACTGTGCTAAATCATAAAATCATTAATTTTTTATAGCTTTTTTTCAGAGAATCAACAAAGTTTTTATTTAAGGCAGATATAAACTTTGCTACCTTTTATTATTTCTATAAAGGACCAATATTTCTCCATGCATGTCTGAAATCTGTCAGTTAATAGAGTATTAATTTAATTTCCTTACTGACGCACCCATTTGAAGTCAATTAACTTTTAAGTTTGACTAAAATGCTGCCACTTTCTGAATAAAACGAGTAACCATATTTATTAGACGTTTCTCATTAAAGGCTGTTAGTGTTTATTCCTTCAGATAAATTTTTACTCATTCAAAAAAAAACACCACCTGCTATACAAATATTCCTGAAATGTAAGGGTCATTCTATGATAAGATGTTCTGAGCTGAACAGAAGGAGAAAACGTTAAATTTTAATTAAAACACATTTTTACTATTTAAGGGCCTTTTATATGTATTCACTCAAGGGCAAGTCACTTTATTTATTTTAAGATACTTTTAAGATGGCCAGGGTAGATACATTGGGCAGGGGAGAGACATCAACATAGAAAAACAGAATATAACAACTTTAATTTAAAATTGTGCTTCTTTTAATTAGAGTATTATTTTTGTACCCCTACTTTTTTTTATATCCTAAACTAGAACTTCTTAGTAACAAAGTGTAAAGTACGCTTATAAGTACTCTTGTCTTTTCAATGAAGAGTGATCTCCGATAATAAGTAGTCAAACAGAGGAGGAGGAAAAGGATGTGAGCCAGCTTTCCATCAGTATTTAGCAAATAAAAAATTTGAAATGTAAAGAAATGGACAGCATTCAAGCAAAGCAATTGTCGGCAAAGCACTTATAACAACATAATATGACCAATTTTTTGTAAATAATTATTTGGCACATATAATAATTAATCCTCAAAAAAATATACAATTGGTAGCCTAAAGACAAATAATCGTAATAGTATATTTATGTGACCATCTATTATTTTTTGAGGATCATTGAAATATTTCACTATTTATTTATTGATATTTCTTGAGCATGTTGATAAAATTAGCTGTATCTGGAAGAGTTTGCAAACATAACTTGTTCAACATTATCTCCCCTGATCAGTTTGTATCTAGCCTGACAGCTATCTTGCCAGAGAAAATATGACAGGGAAGAGGCGTTTTCCAAAAAAAATCCTAACTTAAGACCTTTCTTAGGTATCTTTATAATTGGCTCTCAGGACACGGCCTTTCTCTCACAAGAAAAGTCAAAAGCCCTCATTTTTGGTGTAAAAGAACCCTATCTCCCTTGAATATTTCTATAAACAATCAGCAAATTGAAATTGACTTAACTGTGAATTTATAGGCATAATTCTGGACTCTGAAATTACTGGCATACCTCATTTAAATTATACTCAATAACGTAGTAAAGTCTGTGAACATCCATAGATTCCTGTCTGGTGTTCATTGGGTATGCCATCTTTGTAGTCAGAAAGAGCTATATAATGTGATAGTCTAAAGCCATTTTGAATATAGACGCCAAAATCAGTGATAGATATATAAAACTTATATATAACATTGCACATTACTCACACCACCCACTTTTAAAACAACTTAAAAAATTGGCAAACCATACTGTGAATTCCGCATACTGGACTGATAAGAGTCCCCTAGCTTTTTATGTCGTCTTGATAACCCTAAAAACCTGACATCTCCAATCTCTCAAACATCTAAAAATACTATCTTCAAAACATCTTTCAGGCTCTCACTTTTCAATATACAATTTTGCTTGATTTAATAACTTAAATTATATATGCCACAACTAAAAATTGGATGGAAGCAAATACCATACTCCAAAAATCAAACTTATAATAGACACGTTTTTTTTTAATTCTAGTTACTAATATTCCCGAATCTAATTTATGAACTTTAAATAGGTACATCACTACACATACATACAATGTGTGATAAGAAATGATGTTTGCTTCACTTGAAATATATGGCGGACTGAGTGATTTTCAAGCAACATTTCGGTAATTCGTAAATCATTTATTTACGTGCTATATAAGTTCTTCAAAGAAGTATATTTAGAAAATATATTTTTATGAATAACTTACTTCTCATTTACAAAATGAAAGAATTGTTCTTTTTTTGTTTTTTCTGAAAATAAAACTTTAATCGCCGTTTAAACTGTTTATAATGGGACAGTTAAGAGATTTTGCTTTTTCATTGTCGATATTTAAATTTAACAAATCAATTGTAATAAAGATGCCAGGGGACTTAATAAGTAACCAGGGGAAATAAATGGGTTACTTTTGGCTTTCTAAAATCTCTTTAAATTTAAACCTGAGAAAGATAAAAATTGTTATCTTGACACATTGTTTATTTTATTTAGTTTTGACAATAATAAAATTTAGAAAAGTAGGTGTAAATCGCAGGGGCTACGACGTGTCCCTACTTGAACGCGATATTAAATTATATCATTATTTGTTTCAGGTAACTACATATCTTGTAGTAATATAAGAATGATTACTTATCAAAAATTTAATAAATCATTTTTCCAAAGAAGACGTTGAAGCAAGTGATCGAAGCGAATTTCATTGTTTACAAAAGGTGCTCATGAGAATCTGTCAAAATAAGGAAATCAGCATTTCTGTGTTACAAAGCGAGGATGGATGAAAACGATGTTATTATATCATCTACAGAAATAATAAAAGGTAAGTGAAATATTTTTCACGTAATAACTTGTATATAAATCGCTCCTCTCTATTATCAAAACATAAATTAAGCAATATCAGCAGATATACAAATAAAATACAGATACAGCAAGAGCGCGATTTTCCACCGCGCCCGTCGCGGTTGCCGCAACTCGCGTAGAATTTGAATTTGTAGGTAAAACGCAAAAGTTAATTTCACGTCGCGATTTACCCCTGCACAGCGCGCGGTTGTTTTGCGGCTCCGGCTGGGGGCGCGCGCGGGACGCGATTACCCGCAGACGTGGCAGGCTTCCCTGATTTCGCAACCGCGGCGGGCTGTGGGACCTCGGAAAACTGCGGTTTTGTGAGATTTGAACTAAAACGGCTCTGCGGCGACGGTGCCCAAAAAGAACCGCTCCGAGCTTTATAGTCGATTAACTATTTAAAAAACAGGTAATGCTCGTTCTTTAAAATTAAGAAATATAAAAAAAGTTTATAAAGTAATATTAACCAAGTATGCTCAAACTTTAAACTTCCACTAATCACAATCTCAGGCATTTGTGTTATTCTTTACCCGCGCACGTGTTCCCTCCTTCCTACAATCTGGGGTGATTTAAGAGAGGCGTGAAGAAGCATTTTTGCAGGCCGGTAAGGATGGTTGGTGTAGCAATTTATAACTGCTGTACAAGCTATCTTCGCGTTTGGACTTTATAGTAGAGGCATTTGCCTACCTGACTAAGAAAAACATAATAATAATTAAGCAATACTTGCTTGTTGCAGTTTGGGCTACTTAACACATGTCTGATAAAAGGTTTTGCCTATTAAACATAAAAAATACACATGTCCTTTGTCCAGTCTTCCCAGACAGGCTTGGCTGGAAGTCTACAAATTATTTAATTACAAAGGATCGAAGGCAAAATAAGTTGCGATAATTTTCCTCCCTGATTTTCTTTACAGGTTGAAAAATTACTTGAAAATTTTATATTTTCAAAACATGTAATTTTACATTGAAAAATGAGTAAAAATAACCTGAACTACTGTATTTCGTACATCGCAATTTACTTTTCTCAGCACAAACTTTAATTATAAATATCTTATTGATTTCTCATAACAACAAACAACAAGGCTTGTTTGCAGTTTTTACGTTACTTATTAAGGAAAGCATGTGAAATTGTAGCGAGGTCGTCGAGCAAGCAAATTATTTGCATACGTATTTCTTCAATTCGCTTTATGGGTCGCGATGAAGATACCTCGAATGATTTATTCTGTCGTTTTATTAGATAGAGCTGCACAAACATACTAATAATATAGTATAATATCTCAAAATCAAATATAAAATCTGGAGATCAGAGGCCCAAGCATGAATTTGACAGCTTCGTACCCCTAGCACGAACCATTATCAAATTCGAATAGTTTGCGAGTGCTAAATGTCAATGTCAAATTTTGTATGGAAACTTGAACAGCAGCGCCGCAAAGTACGTAACGAGAACTAAAAATTAGTACACATTTAACAATGACATTTTGGAATCGCAAACGTTACGAATTCGATATTGGTTCGTGCTAGGGGTATGGAGCTATCAAATTTCATGCTTAGGCCTCTGATCTCCAACATTACGATGACGTAGCGTAGCTTTCGACTTTAAAATGCCAAAACTGAATAAATTAATTTTGAATCTATGTTAAAGTTTATATGAAAACGGAGCAGCGCTCCTACCGGACGTAAAACAAAATGTACACCAGTCTCCGATAGTAAACACGGAAACATTATTGCAAGTGGGAGCAAAACAATGGCACAAAACTTCTTTTGTTCATTGATCTCTACGTATAAAGGTAAAATTATTTATCCGTATTAAATACCAGCAAGCGATCCATAACGATGTGTTACTCGAACGTAGACATCACTGCAAAGGTGTGAAGGCCACGACGGTAATAGCCAATGATATAATAGCCGATCGTCATTTGGTTTTGTGTCGCCTGCGGACAGTTGTGCCTACGCATATTAGTATGACAAGTCGTCTTACACAATATAGATCGCTGTGCACAATGTCAAAGGTATGGTCTCTGAGCTCACGATCTTATAGAAAATGGTAAAGGAGTTATGTAATACTGGCCCCAGAAGACTTTAAGGTGCAAAATTTAAACTCATACATTAACTTTGAGTTGAATTTGATTAAATCTACATACGAATCTGTGAATTTAAGAACTCAAATAAAATGTAATGCATTGTACTGAAGATTTGCGCTCTAGACTTAATTACCATTTAACTTGACCCGGGTACATGTTCATTAACGAAAAACCTTAAAGACAACATCGTTAGCTACGATGAAAGAAGTTAAAAAACTAAGACTCTTAGACTTAAAAAAATGAGTTTTTATTGTTCAGATAAGACCGTTCTTCAGGTATTGTCAGCTTGTAATAGAGTTTCACTTTTAATTAACAATAAATGTCTGGCAGATGGGCCCCAGAAGGAAGGCACATTAGCCAAAAAAAAAACAATAAATGTGAAATAAAGTTTTTGTGAACTGTAGAAGGAATAGAGGAATTCTCTTGATTTCGCAAATAAGTATCTACCCCACGTATAATTAAACTGAGTTTACAATTCAGCAGTATCAAAAGCTGGAATCTAATAAATAATAATAATAAATATTTTCCACACTTACACCAATTAGTCTTGCCCCAAAGATGATGGCACTGTAAAGCTTGTGTTATGGGATGCTAGGGTAACGGAAGAGGGTAATTTACTGATAAATATATAAGTATATTTTATCAAAAAATATATATACATCCATGACTAGGGTACAAATGGTCGTATTTATAATACTAACATTTTCCCCTACCGGGATTTGAACCCGAGACATCTGAGAAGGCGACGCCTATCTAATATTGTTAAATACCCTTTTAGATCGTCATGGCTTCCGTATTTATATCCAATCCCAAATAATAAACCTTGAACAGCTTTAGTGGTAGCGTCAGCCCATTCATACAGTGGCTGAAGGTGCTATAAAAACTGAAGTGTGTCAGGGGATCAATAAACTGTACAAGCGGACACTTCGTTTAGTTATGAGCGGTTTAGCGACACAAACTGTAGTACCTGTATTATAATAATGTCCAACTGTGTGTTGATTGTCAATTTGGCTTTATTAACGGACTGCATAGTCTTACTAGCTACTTAAGCCAAGTTGAAAATATTTAAACAGGCTAATTATTTTTAATAACCTCCTATTTAGGCCTAGACCGCACTACGGGTTTTCCCGCAAGCCGGAAACCGCGAAATCGCCCGAAGCGCACACACTACGATTAAAAACCGCAAAACTAGACATGATTATCACAGTTTGAAATTTAAGAAATTATAAATTTTCCCATTGTGACTCTGGTATCGGAGTACTTTTATGATTTGGTGCCTTGCATGGTGGGATATAGCAATAGGCGGAGCAACTAACGCTGGTCTTTTCTGTACTTCTGCTATGATTCTTGAGGACATATTTTCATAATCTAGCTCGTTTGAAACCGACTCCGACTCAGTCGATGACATAGTTACGAAGCGATACCTACATACGGCGGCGCGGTCCGACGAATAATGATAGAAGCCGCCCGCGGTTACCACGTCAATGGTGTCGATTCTAGCGTCATTCTCTAAACTTAAAACTAAATTTAACATCAGTCTCTCCTTGCCATTCTGCATAGAAAATGACAAGGATGCACTGTTGTCAAATTTAAGTTTAGCTTTAGAGAATCATGCCAGAATCGACATCAATGTCTGACTAAAAATTTTGCCGCGGTTTTTACCCGCGAGCCGTTCTGTATCACGGTTTAAACATAAATCACTGTTTTAAAATCAGAAGAACTTTCGCAATGATCGGTCATTGGAGAACCACCGGGTATATATTACTTCGAGTTCCTCCGTGGAAGGCACCAATCCGCACTGGGCCCGCGTGGTGTGTCACGGCCCAGTCTCCCTATTCCATACATAGAGAAGGCCTGCGCCCCTGCAATGGGAACATCAATAGGCTGATGATGATGACTACAGGCGTTATCTTGTGCCAAAATATAAAAATAAAACCTTAATCTCGTCTGCAGCATCACCATTCTCCACTTTTACACAGTTCTGCACGGCTCATCTTTGAGCCGCTTCAATAAAAAACCTTTGCCTTTTCCACGGTTCCGTTCACTTCACTTTTGTGGAAACAAATATTCCCTTGCGAGCCCGGCGTTTTATATCCCTAATTAATACGGCATAATTATTTAATCGGAATTTAAAAAAAAAAGTGCAAGGGAGGTTTTTTTTATTAATTTCGAGGGTGTGTAACATTTACAGCCTTGGAATTAATTAATGAAATAATTTGGGGGTCATATACTCGTTTGCCTCTTTTTTGACATAAAAAAGGCAAAGGAGATTGCTCAAATTGGCCTAAATGCACGAAAAATATTGACATGCACGGTAATTCTTGGCGTAATTTATAATTTAATTTACAGTCATTAGATTTCAACGGACACTTTTGTAATATATTTACTTTAAAAAATACTTTTAATTTTACCGGTTTGGAAAACATACGAATCATTTTTAAGGGCTATGGGTGTAGTGACATTCAGCCAAAGACTGATCGAAGTTGTTTATATAACATAAAAACAAATCTATTTTGTAAAGATCGAAAAAATAAATCAATTTTTTTTATAACACTGTGGTATTAATATCCACAACTATATTATCATTTTCACTAGATGCAAATGTGCTCAGACAATTATTATTGATGGTAGGCCATATCATAAAGTCTATTGCCATACATTTTTCGCCAAACACCTCCATAAACACATTATAATCTGAATATATGTTAGACTTTAAGGTTTCTATCTATGGGCCTACGTTCCCTGACTATAAATAAATAAAATTATAAGGTGTGATACACTAAAAATCTAAAATATAGTTATCTTAAAAACATAACAAAAATAATGAAGCTACTGAATATATGGTTATAGAACCTAAATCTCTTAGCTTTCTTTGGTTAACGAGAGTTTAAAAATTC